ACCGCTGCCCTCAGTGGGGAAGGGGAGCTCAGGAGGAGAGACAGTTGACATTTTTGCACTGCATTTCATAAGCAGTTCTGGCCCCAAGGAAATGCTACAGCAGATTTTTTTTTTTTTTTTTTTTTTTTTCTCTTCTGCTGTTTGGAGCACTTTGATCGACAAAAAAACCCTGTTTCCCTCTTCCTCCCGACTTCCCACCCACACTTTTGGGTACTTTTTAGCACACATATTCCCATGGCACAGGGTATGTGTTGTTTTGTAATTTCTTACCGTGTCTGCAGCTGTAGAAGATGGCAGGGGACCTCCTGATCTAGTTCTGATTGCCACAGAGGCGAGAATGTGTCTGTAGTAACCTAGGTCTCGTCACAGGCTCTGCTGAATAGATGCTCATCAAGTATTTCACCGTCACACCTTAGCATTAGCATTTAAACACTTCATTGAGCGTTTGCATTCGAGAATCTGCATTTAAAGCAGAGGTAGCCCATAAATCATGGGATTTACTGTACCTTTCAGCATTGTCATTATGACCAATAGAATACTAGTGGTTTTCTGTATAATTTTCATACAAATCTACAGAAAGATGCCTGTCATCTGCAGCCTTACTGGGCAACTGCCATGATTGTGGAAGGCAGGTCAGAACTCGTAGTTCTTCACAGTCCTTGACTTCTGCTGATGTTGGTGTCCGTGGTGCAGCTCAGCACCAGCTTGGTTCAAGTCTTGCACCTCATGTTGCTGCCTATGCAATGCAGTACGTGACTTCTTCAGTAATCTGTGCCATTAAACCCACTTTAGGAGTGGTATTTGTACTGCCCAGCTGCCAAAGAAGGTGTACGAGCATCAGCAAACCATATGCTAGCAGTGTAGAGTGGTGACACCACAGCACAAAACAGCCAAGGGTGGCGGTGGCTATTCACACACTGGACACCTGACCCAGGCTCTCCTGAAGTGCGGCCTCTGCCGTTGACTAAGGCTTTTTGTATTCTGAACATGAAGCTCGCTGTATTGCAGTGAAATCAGATGGCTGGGGGGGAATACGCGGTTCTGTCTCTGCCTAAAGCTGTTTACGCCCTGGTTTGTGGCAGCATTATTAGACTTCCTATTGCTACAGGTTGGGTTTTTTTCCCTTTCCCTTGCAGTAGTCAAAAACCTGCTTTCACCAGCAGTTATTCTGAGCAGTTGCTCCCAGCTCACCAGAGTGCAGCCTGTGTATGCACTGATAAATTCCTTCTCTGCAGTTATTTACAGTGTTAATAAATTAAACTGAAAAGCAGCACACACCCTAGCAAGAAATGTCTGGCATCTAATCCCACAGCATTTGAATAAAATGGCATCGACAAAAAATCCTGAATAAAAATGTGGCTGCATGGGTCACCTGTCCCTGTTTCAAAGAAGAAGGCGCCCCTTTACCAGACATAATAGTCAGAGTAGATGCTACAAATGCATTGGAACTTGCTAATGAAAAAAACCACCCACACAATATTGAAGGAAACTCTTGGGTGACGCAAGAAGGTAGTCCTGAAGCTCAGGCTCGTCAGCTCAAGTGGCGTTTAGCCCCGTCCTTCACAGCTGACAGCAGTAATCAGCCAGAAAGAAAAAGGCATGACAGTGCCAAAAGCTGCAATGAAAACTTCGAAAACTGGGATAGGATGGGAGAAGGAATGTGTAGAGCCCAGCCTAGTAAAGCACTTCAGTATGTACTTTGCTTTAGTGGGATTATTTGCCTGAATTATATATGCCTGAAGTCAAGCTGAGGCCTAAATGATGCACCAGCACTTTAAATAGTGCTCAGTATTTGCACATACACAAATGTATTTCCTTTTTCTTTTCCTTCCTTTTTTTCCTTTTCCTGAGTCGAAGATTTCTGGAAGCTGCAAGAGGCTGTTGCAGAAGTGTTGCCTTTTTTTTGCTTCCCCAGGCAAGAGGACGTGGGAAGGCACTGCTCGTTCCAGCAACCCTGTGGAGCTCCATGG